GGGGTGGGGGGGGGGGTTCTATAAGGGTTCCGTAGCGGTTTTAGGGGACGGTTAGGGTTTGAGGGTTTTGACGGACGTAGGTGTCTTTAGAATTCAAGGCTTGGGTTGAAGGGTTTGGGGGGCTTACAGCGGGGTGAATAGACTTGGAGGCTTAGGGGTGGAAGGTCTCAGGGGTTTGGCAATGAGGGATTTGGGATTGAAAGTATGAGGGTAAGGATTTAGGGAGTTCGGGTCTGAGGGCGTTTAGGGTTTAGGGTTTCAGAGCCTCCATACGGGTTCTATGGCGTGTCTTATGCTTGCTTAAAACAATTTGAATGTTTGGTGCTGGAAGGTCTATATGGGTGGTGTCAAACCTATATGAATGGAAGTTGGAGGCCAGCGGCTAGGTGCAGGAATCTACACAGAATCTAGGAGTTGCCGTCCAGGATCTGAGGCGTGATGCCTTTTGGGTCTTCGCGTTTGGTTTTCGGGGTTCAATGATCATATTTAGGGTTCGGGCCTACTGCGCCTAAAGCCGAAAAAGTGAAACTCTAAACCCAAGCCCTATAAGCCCTAAACCGTAAGGTGTCGGTGGAGATGCCAGGTTCCTGGATTGTGGTTCCGGCTTACTAGAGAAGCATCTCTTATACTAGTCCTATTTTATAATCCCTTATAGTAAACCCTAAACCCCTAAACCCTAAACCCCTAAACCCTAAACCCTAAACCCCTAAACCCTAAACCCTAAATCCTTTGGGTTTAGGGTTTAGGGTTTAGTCCTTCCTCGAGACTCCCTTAAGCAGCAGCAAGCTCGAGGAGAACTACCGCTACTTCCATATTGCCATGGCTGGGCCCACGGGAACCTCCTACGAAGGCCCTAAAAGGGGGGGGGGGGTTAGGGGCCTAGGGTTCGGGGCTTAGGGGTTGAGGGAGGGTTTACGGCTCTTGGGGTTGAAGTGAAAGAAGTAGGAAGAAGTACCGTAATCATGGTTTCCCCTTCTGCCACACGACAATTGCAGAAGAATTGCAGGGGTTGGGGGTTCTTGCCTGCCGTTTCGCTCGAAAGTTTATTATAGCTTGGGTACTGCCCCCACTCAGTAACCGTTGAGTAATAGTCATAATATGGATATATAAGGCCCTTAATAGTAGCCTTCTTATAGACTGTTACTGTATGGGGGCAGTACCCAAATTATAGCTTCTTTTTAGGGCTTTATATTCAGCGATTTGGCCTTGGGGTTCAAAGTTTTGATTTCGGAGGATGGGTTCGGGGCTGTGGGCCAAGCTTTGAGGTTTAGAGTTTACGGTTTGAGGTGTGAGGTTTAGAGTTTACGGTTTGAGGTGTAGGGTGAGGATTAGAGGAAGAGCTGCGATTCGTGGACCGCCGGCAGCGTGTCGTTGCCAAGCGATTCTCGTGGCTCCTCGGGCACCCGTGGGAGGCCAAACCCTAGTGGCCCTAGCCTTTGTTATATGTTCGCACACCCTGACTTAGTAGTTGCTAAGCCCTTCTACTGTTCTTCCCTAATCCCAATATCAGCCCTAAGCCATCGCGGCTGGGCCAACCTTTCCGCAGCGACTCGTCTCGTTGAGTTGTCAAAGAGGGGGCTTGTCTCAATCTTGAACCGAAAACTTTAGAGCCTGAGCCCAAAGCTCTTGGAAATCTTGAACCCGAACTCCGAAATCTTCAAAAACCTCTACAGCACATCCCAAAGCCTAGCCCGACAAGCCCCGCAAAACAAAAAAGAGCGCCCCCACATGACTAAAGCCCTTGAGTCGAGCCCCGAGCCGCCGTAGATGAAGCCTCAAAAGAGGCCTTAAAGACCCCGAAAGCCCTGGCAAAAAGAGGCGGAACCTACAAGTTGGAGCTCTTCCTTCCGGAGGGCTATCCCATGGAGCCTCCCAAGGCCTTCTTTGTGTTATGCTTTCGGTTTAGGGTTTTTTCGATATGTGTTTTTTTGGGTTTAGGACTTATAAATGTTGGGTTTAGGGTTTGGGGTTTGTGAATTTGTGGTTTAGGGCTGCGGGGTGGAGGGGGAGGTTGTTTCAGAGCCGCGGAACCGACTAAAGCATTTCTTGATAGAGGCTAACGCATTCGAGAAAAAAGGAGCGAACCGCTCGAAACGGACCGGGCCAACCGCACGAGCAGAACTATATAGTGCATTTCAGGAAAGTGAGCCAACCATTAAAAGAAATAGAGCATGTCAGCAAAGGGGCAAACCACTCGAATGGGATGAAAGCATGTGGTAAAAAGGAGCAAGCCGACCCAAAGATTTCACAAACCGTTCGACAGGGACTAGAGCATCTCAGAACCAGGAGCAAGCCATTCGCAAGACTATGTTTCGAGAAAAGTAGCCAACTTTTCGACAGGGACTAGAGCAGTGGATAAAAAGGAGCCAGCTGCTCGAAAGGGACGAGAGCATGTGAGAAACAGAAGCAAGCAGCTCAAAAGGACAATAGAATTTGCGAAACCACGAGCAGACCTCTCGAAAATGACTAGAGCACCAGAGCATGTGAGAAAACGGAGTAATTGCAGGAAAGGCAGACCATTTGATCGAACATGCGGCTAGCAGTAATAGGGACAGTTGACGTAAGAGTTCCGGGGCTTGGCGAACGCTTTCAGGGCGAGCCTTGGACGTGGCAGGAAACCTGGGTCCTTGTTGGATACAATTTTACATTTTTGTTATAATAAAACCCTATTAAGGATTAAAAATGATCATTTTTAATATGGCCCCAACAGGGAACCAGAAACCGGCCAACAAACACTCTGCAAGGAACTCATGGTGTGTATTGCAATTCATTCAGTCATTCATTCCACTGAGCTTAAACCCTAAACCCTATTGTGCCCTTGAAAGAAGCCTTAAAGGGACCCTTGCAGAGACCCGACAGTACTCTTTAAAACCCGAAAGAAATCGCACCTTTTCCAGAGCTGCTTACGGCCGTTTCTCTTTGAGCTAAGCTCTGGAACACCAAACCCTCAACTCTGTAGCCTTGAACCTAAAGGCTAAACCCTAAGCTTAGCTTTGCAGCCTTTTGCCAGGATTAAAACCTTACCTGTGCCCCAAGCAGTTGCTGCCATAAACCACAGAGAACCCGAAACAGGCAATCTCAGACCCTCCCTACAGCCTAAACACAAATCATGCCTGTTTATATTCCCGTGTAACGCCCGTATGCAACCTTATTCACCGCTTCATTCGCTTCTGTAGTCCAATGAAGCCTATTTGTGGCTTTTGGTTCGTCCTGACGTACAGGTTCGCTTTCTCACGAAGATTTACCATCCGAACATTGCACGACGCTCAGGTTTCTCCTCCTTTGAGTCATTGAGGGTTCTCAGAGGTCTGGAATTTGGAATTCAAGCCGATTCTTCTTCGTACGTGCCAACAACGATACCGGGAGCTGAGTTGTGTTGTTCTCACGCTTCGCAATCGTAGCTACCTGTCAACCCTAAAGGCCCACCACCTAAACCCTAAAGCCGAGCAAGGGAGCAAGGGCTGGAAACCCCCGATTTCAAATCTTGGTAGCATCGAAGTAGAGCTGCGGGCTTCGGGTCTTTGGCGTTGAGCTTGGGGTTGAAGACGTACGGTTTCGGGCTTAGGGTTTCAAACCACATTGATGAGTTCAAACCGCAAGCCGCAAGAGCCATGAACAACAATGCTAGCGTACTGGGCGAATACTAAGACCTGCCAGACATGTATAAGACCCGTCTTGATGCTGTGAAAACTCGGGCCTGTCTAGATTGTATTGAAGGGGATTGACAGACACTGCATTGCACGAGCCAGAAACCCTAAACCTTCACTGTGTTGGCGTTTTAATAAAACAAGAACAAACACATCATCACCATCCATGATTTCCGATGTGATGACGGTTCAGCTGCGGGCAGCCAGCAGTTGCATCTCAAGGGCTTGTCTCGTGATTCAACTGGCTTCACAGAGAGTCGCTTCTGAGCCATATAGTCTTGGCAACATAGGGATTGCTAAATCCTCAGCGTCTCTTGCCAAAGTCATCCCAGTGCTTGCAGTGCCGCGGCCTTTATGCTCAAAACGATAGCCACGAGCAGATGGAGCCCCAATGACCAGTTACGTGCTATGTTCCAGCAGCCATGTTGCATGCCATGTTATGCTACTGCACATGCTCATTATCTGTTACATTTCATTACTAAACCCTCGACCCTAAACCTATGCACATCAGCCTGAATGTTCTTCTTGCTTCACGGTACAGTCGCCTTTACACAGTAGGAACCTCCACCTAAGGGACCCACAAGTAAGAAAACCCTGCGCTTTCGTTTTTCAATACCCCACATCTTTTTTGGGGGTTTAGCTGTGTCGGGTTTTGGCTCTAGGGTTCGGACGCGCGATATATTTTTATGGAAACGCTGCGCCAGTTTGGAACGCTATCGCTGGGCTCCTCGATGCCATGCCGGGTCTACTGGACATGCAGGAAGGAGCTTCTAGCAGGAACTTGGTTTCTGAGTTTCCGTTATGATCTTATAGTGGCACCCATTCCTGAAATATGTTGCGGGCTCTCAAACTGTACAACCTAGGTTTTGGTTCTCGTGCTGGATAGCTCGTCCGACACCTCGGGCCTGCAGCTCGCAGCGGCTTCTCGCGGCGTGCGGAAAGCCGTGGAACATTGCAGAGATATGGGTAGCGAAAGTCCATGGCGACATCCACCAGGTGCCTGAACCCTGACCCCTCAATGCTAACTCTTACTTCGCCCATAAATCCTACCTCAACTGGTCCTAAGTCCCCTAAAGCCCTACAGCTGCCAAAAGCTTGGGAGGCTAAAAGCCCTAAAGACTAAAGCCGAACATCTTCGTTCTTAATCCTGGCCGTACGTGCAAAACCCTGAAAATCAAAATCTGCATAACATATAGAAACTTGAAACCTAAGAAATTACCAATACTATTCCTTAGGGTTCCTTATTATCCTATTCTAATTATTGAGGCCCCTTTACTACAACCCTTGAAGGAGCCCTCAAATCGCTACTGTCCTGAGGAGGTAGGCGAAAGGTTGCGAAAAGAACATTTTCGGTGCACCCCGGATCCCTGTAAAAGAAACCGTAATCCCAGAAGCAACACACCGAAAAGGAGCCAGTAGCCTTTTAGTTTGAAGGTACTTGGGTACCATCTGGACTCTGGAGGCATCTAGGCTTGGGAGATCTCAGGAAGCTTCCAAACGTGACCCTGTGCTGCCAAATAGAAGCTGGGCCCAGGGTTCAGGGTTCGGGGCTGGTCATGTTTGTTTGTTTTGTGTGTGATCTGTTTTTGGCGAGGGGGATTGAGGGTTTTCGGCATTGTGTGGATGTGGGACACATGGTTCAGGGTGTAGGAATCGAGGTAGTACTTTTGGAGCACATTCACTACGAAGACATAGTGAGTGCTATGGTCTAGGCTTTGCATGATAACTTTAGAGTGTCAGGTTTAGGGTGGGATACGTATTTATTTTCCCTAGCCGGCGAGTAGAAGTGCATATACTTTCTAGGTCTCTTAAAGAATAACGCAGAACAACCCAGGAGTTTCAGAAGGTTGCGGAGGTCGTGGCCTTCACCAAAGCAGCCATGGAGATAGCTGCGCAGACGATAAATGGCCATGTATCTTTCAGCATCTTCACGTTTAGAAGGTCGGAGAGGGCGAAGCTGTTCCACAGAAGTCCCTGGGAGTTTTTCTCCAGGGCTCAAGCAAAGCCGAGCGCACATGTCTGTTTCAATGGCCGGCAATACGAATGCCGCCTGCATGCTTCTCCAGGCTGGGAGCACTCCGATGAGGAAGGCTCTTCGATAAATTTGAGTGTAGATCCGGTCGAAGACGCCGTGGACGTACCGCAGTCTCCTTCGATTCTCTGGGGCAGCCTTTCGAAAGGCTGGGCTCTGGACACATGCGACGCCCGCCTTGCAGCAGAGTCACCTCTTGCAGCATCGGTGAAAGCAGGCAGGCCGCTGCCCATGATGCTGGGCATTGACAGCCTCTGCTCCTCATACTATACATGAAAAGGGTTTCCGGGTTTGGGGTTTGTGAAGTAACTTATGTAGGGCTCTCCAGAGAAATATTGGTGAGAGTATGTTCGGGGTATAGCTATCGGGATACTGGTGCAGAAAGCCCTACTCCACCGCGAGCGTTGGCAGAATCAAAATCAGCTTCTGTGCCGCAGCTCCTTTTTACATGTCCAATTCGCCAGGCACAGGGGAGGCGGGCCTCATGGGCAGCTCGTTAAAATGATGGCTCCTGCCGGAAAAGTTCGGATGACCGTGGCGAGTAGCCGAGTGCATCCTGCAATCTCTCCTTTCCCCAAACCGGCGCGAAGCCCAAAAACCCTAAACCCCTTAACCCTGAACCCTGAAACGAAGCCCAATGGGTTTAGAGTTTAGGCGTTTAGGCCTAGGCTTTGAGTTCAAGGCCCCCTGACCCTAAAACCTTGCAATCCTCAACACATCTTGAAATCCTAAACCCCAAACACCCGAACCCGAAAAACCCAAACGCAGCCTTAGGACGTCGTGCTGAGGGACCATTAACGCAGAAGTCTAATATAGGGGCCTTCATAATTACCTATTACTATTTTTTGGGGGGTTCCTTATTATAGTTATAGTATAATATACCCCAAAACCCTTTGAGTTCTGAGGACAAGCTCGGTCGCATCTGCCTCGACGTTCTGAAGGAGTGCAGCATCGTGCTATAGCATGGCTTAAGATACCCCTAAACCCCAAACCCTAACCCCTGAACCCCTAAAACCTAAACCCTGAGCCCCTTAGAAAATTGTCATCCCGACACCCACAGCGCTGAATCCTAAACTCCAGACCCCACGGGCCGGACAAATGCAGTAAGACCATGTAGAACCACTAAAGAACCCTGTAAAGCCCCAACAGACTCCCAATCCACCCCGAACCGTGAAATTCCTTCACCAGGACAAGTGGAGCCCCGCGCTGCAAATTCGAACCGTACTGCTTAGCATCCAGGCCTGGGTCGGTGTTGCCAGGAATTCAGGGGCTACCGTCGCTGATTGTACTATAAACCCTAAACACTAAACCTCTAAACCTCTAAACCCCTAAACCCTACACCCCTAAACCCTAAACCCCAACCCCTAAGCCACAGTCCCAAAGAGGCACCCAAGCGCTGAGCACGATTCTCTGAGTGCTCCGCAAATCGGGAAGCCTAAAATCCAGAAGCAACCCACAAGTCCCTAAAAGAATCCCCTAAACTCAGGGTTTAGGGTTTAACGTTCCCTACACGTCCCTAGTATCCCCTGTACTTAAAGCTTACGTCCAAAGCCTTCATAGCAGCAAAAGCCCTCAACAACTGGGCCATCGGCAAATCCTCCGTAGGAATCCGTTGGTGAGGCGATGCTGTTAACTTGGATGGTGCTTTCGTGAAGTTGTTTAAATCTCAGAACCAAGGCATATGCACTGAAGCTGCCTAAGAGAGGTTGTCCGTTTGCCATGATCGGCAGAAGCCACGCCGGATGCATGGCCCAAGATGCAGAAAGCAGCCGAAGTGAGAGTCCTCGAACTCGATGGTAGGTTGTTTCGGGGGCCTCAGAGGCATATAGTCCCTCAGCTTGTGGGTTGGGGTTGTGCTTCGGAAGGTTCCTTTCAAGACTTTGATCCTTGTGAATTTTTGGTTGTGGGTCGCTTCCTGTTTGAGAGTTGAGCTCGGGAAGCTTAACCATACTTCGGAGAAGAAGGTTTTACAACACCATGGCCACTTCCGTGAATGCCCCTGATCCGGAAAATCAACAGAATCATAGGGTTTAGGGTTTCTGATTCAATTCTATAATATCAAAACGTCTAAAGAGTCACCCCCTCAAAGCAAGCGCTCGTGTCTAAACAAATCCTCCCAAGCCAAGTCCAGCAGCTACATACTAGTAGTTGTCTATAGACCGAGTGTTAAAGCCCTCATGTCAAGCCCTTCAACCCTTGGACCCACCAGCCTAAACCCCATCATGTGCTTTTCCACCCTATCATGTGCAAAGCCCAAAGCACACACACCAAAACATCAAAGCCCACAGCCTGAAGCACCAAATCCTAAACACTTAGCCTCTAAGCTTCCGCCGCAACCGAATGCCTCAAGAGTAGCCCAACGGCGGTGTTAGTCTGGTCTTTGATCCCCAAGAGCCTTTCGAGTTCTCCCAAAGGGTTTCGGAGGATTTTAGGGTTTCCTGGTGCAGGGTTTCGGATCTAGGTACCTGCGGCGCAATTCTCTATATTATATATATATATATACATATATGTATGTATGTATATATATATAGAGAGAGAGAGAGAGAGAGAGAGAGAGAGAGCAGGTTATGACTCAGCGGGTTGCCGAATTCCAAACGCCAAGACCCTAAACTGCTAAACCCTGAGGCAGGCCGTTTCTCCTTGATCCCAAAGAAGCTTGAGATCCTAAACCCGAAGCCGCGTAAACTCTAAACCCTAAACCCTAAACCCTAAAAGTGCGAGGAAAAAGGTCCGGTTAAAAAAAACCCTAAAAGTTGCAAAACTTCAAAGAGCCAGTACACTTTAAAAACAAAAGGCTGCAAAACTTCGAAGGAAAACTTGAAGCTCTGATTTTAGTTCCGCAGCCCCGGGAGGCCCTCCTGAGCGCACCGGAGCCTTCTGACCCGTTGGGTCGAAGCCCAAGGAAGGGCGGTTTTGGGGTTTAGGGTTTTGGGGTTTAGAGTTTAGGATTTAGGGTTTAGGCTCCTTAAAGGGTTTCGGGTTTAGGAGTCTTCTGAGACGAAGTTGGTGCGCAAACTCCCCTGAATAGTTCAAAGCTCAGGGTGTAGAGTTGGAACTTCATAGAGGCTAATGTGGGAGCCTGGTTCAGAATCCCTGGGTCTTTGATTGGATTCTTTAAGCCCCGAATATTTTGGGGCTTTGGGGCCAGGGCTTGCTAATCAGGGGTTCAACTGTGGGCTTCGGCAACCGTCGGTTTGGGTTTGTAAACTGGGTCTTCATTCATCAGGGTTTAGGGTTTAGGGGTTTTGGGTTTCGATAGCTGGTGGCAACCCTCTACCCCCTTGCGATACCCACCTTGCACACGACCACAAATGGCTTGCGGACCAGGTTGTGGCCCTCGGCTGGGGTGTCTAAAGGTCATTACGTTTGCTGCTTGACGGTACCGACGCGCTAGACACTAAGGCTTGGGATTTTGGTTTGTCTGGGCTGAGGTGATGGCTTCATGAAGATTGCAATTCTTTTTCCTACGGTTTCAGGTGCCAGATTGCCAGAAGGCTTCGTCTTTGCGGCACTGGAGGTTCAAAAACCCCTAAACCGGATTCCAAGCCCTGGCCCTAAACTCTAATCCCCTAAACCAAAACCCTAAACCCTAGCTGGGTATGTGCGTAGGTTTACGGCTTCAGAGGATGAGTTGAGTTTCGTAGGATCGAGGTCTGGGGCCTTCGAGCGCGCAGCCGCGAGCTGCAGGGATTTTTTGGGTTCCCTTCGTTTGAAACTTGGTCCTAAGTTGAGACTTAGTCCTTATCTCCTAAAGCCAACTTGATCGGGATTTCAATCAGGAAATCGAGATTCCGGTTCAGTCACCGTGCAAGAAGCAAAAAAAAAAACTCGAGACTTGCAGCCTGAACCTTGAAATTGTACTAGAGTTACAAATTTGGAGTCTTGGTCGAGGGCTGAATTACATGTCCTGCGGATTCCACATCCCACGTGAACCGAGACACGACTGTCGCCGACCACTTCATTGCAAACCGCAAGGAAGCGGAGCAAGTAGGCGGAACCGCCAGCTCGCAGGGTTTAGGGTTTAGGGTTGGCAAATTGGCTCTTGTCGGGTTTAGCACTTTGGAAGGCTTCGTGATACGGGGTTCCTTCAGGACTCATAAGAGCTCGAAGGTGTAGTTTGCACTTGAAGGAGTTTAGGGTTTAGGTTTCAGGGTTTAGGGTTTAGGGTTGGATAAGAGACAGGGGGCTGAGTCGCTAGTAAAGGAGGCTTCAGCCCGAACGGGGTCCGGTCTCGAGGCTGACAGTACTGACTACTGCAGGGGCCTTAAAAATTAGAATAGTGCTTTGGGGCCCATTTTACTATAGTTAGGGAGCCCCCAAAATAGTATTGGCAATTAGTTAGGCCCCTACACTAGTTGGCAACGGAGCTTCATTCATGGCCCTGAACCCGGATCCTTCTGCAGTGGGTCTCGGGTCAAGACCATACGGTTGATGATACAAATCCTGCACTACCCATAATAAGTAGTATACCATGATTCCCATAGTTTGGGGTCCTTAAAGTAATGCAGGATTTCTATCATCGACAGTACTGAGGTTTAAGGGTGACCCGAAACCTTAAAGCAGGGCAGAGGGTGTTCTGCTCAGGTTCCGGGGCATCGAACTTACTTGGCGGACCAAGGGGCTCAGTAGATAGCTTCAAAGTCTGGTCCTAAGTGCCGGATTTTACTGAGATGGGCCATCCGAGAAACTCATCAGACCGTGTAGGCCCTAAACCCTAGACCCTAAACCCTAAACCCAAAAACCCTAATTACCCCCTAAGCCCCCTAAGCTGTGTAGGCCCTAAACCCTAAACCCTAAACCGAGAGCTCTGAAGCCGGGTCTTCTCGTAGCCGTTCGAGTTGAATCACGTGGTACTACTGTAGAAGGATGAACGGAGAGGCGCAATATGGGTCTTCTGTTCCAAGCTATATATTACTACTACCTATTATTGTCGTACTTTGTACTACCCATTACTGCTATTCTACTGTTACTATCACTATTACTATAGACTCTATAGGCCCTCTTATGGCCCCCGAAGCACTGAACAAAGCACCATCTCAAGACCTTGGGAGGGGTTTTCCTTGGTGTGTTGGGCGAGGGTTGATGGTCTAGGGTCTGATCTTAACATAAAAGGGACAGTATCAGAGTATAGTACATGTGACAGTACCATAGTATAGTACGTTGTGTATTTTTCCTTCACAGTGTGTATTGAAGTTTAGGGCTACGGGATTTCCGGGTCTTAGGGCTAAGGGTAGTTTAGCATGGTGCCTTAGCGTCTCCACGGAAGTCCGGAGACG